GGATGCGCGGTCCGGTGGCTGGATGCTTGGCCAAGCCCCTTCCTCCCACCCCAGCACCGGTCGTTGTCATCCCCGGCCGACTTGGTGGCCAGCCTGTGAGCGGCTGGCGCACCGCTGGGACGAAGAGCCATTGAGGCGGCCTGGAGGCTGCTGGACGCAGCAGGGCCCAGTAGTATGGGGAGGATGGGGGGGATGCGCCTCACCTTCCTCTGACACAATGGGCCCCTTGGCCCCTTCACCGTCTGCAAGGTTGTTGGCCCGAGCCCGCTCCTGCTGCCGCTGGTGCAGACGTCATGGGCCGCCGAGGCGTGAGCCACATTGGTGACCAGGCTGCAAGCAGGTGGGGGCTGGTGCGCCGCCCGGCCAAAGACCCATTAAGCCAGCCCGGAGGCCACCACATGCAGCACAGCCCTGGGGTCTGGGGAGTGGGGGAAGCAGGCGGAAGGGCCTCACTTGGATCCAACATGATGGGTGACCTGGCCCCTTCACCAGCCACGGGTTCATCGGGACGATCCCGGGTCTGCTGCCACTGTGGCCATACTAGCCCGCCAAGGCACGCCGGCAGACAGCCTGCATGTGGAAGGGGGCTGGCATGCCACTGGGGCGCACGGCCATCGAGGCGGCCCAGAGGCCCCCAGCCGTGGCCACCCAGGAAGCCAGTCGTCGCCCACCGATCCCAGGGTCTGCAGGGGGGAGAAAGCTTCCCTCCTAGTCCCAATATAATACTGATATTGGTATTCAGGACTATTTGGAATTCTGATTTCCACGACCCCTAGTTTCAAGTTCCATCATAGGTATCTCAGGTAACAGATATTGGGAAAGACCTTTCTCTGCTTGAGAACTTAGAGCAGGGGTCCTCAACCTTTTTGATCCTGTGGACACCTTTGGAATTCTGACATAGAGGGGTGGGTGCAACCGCAAAGTGGCTGATGCAAGAGGCAGAGCCCACCACAAAATGGCTGTCCCACGAGTAGAAGTTAGTCACAAAGTATCAGGAGTGAGGTTATGCAAAATGCTAATACTAAATTTTTAGTATTTCGGGCAGAAGCTCTGTTTAACATGGCACTTTTTAACCTACACAGCCAATCAAATCTCCAGTGGCCAATCAGAAGTCCTGTAGGGCAAAAGCCCTACTTGGTCCCACCAACTTTCTAGAAACACTTGGCAGGTGCCAGAAAAGGTGTTGGCAGGGACCATGGTGCTCGTGATTGCTATTTTGGGGACTCCTGACATTATCAGCAAGGGTAGGCACTACTGAGCTAGATGGATCAGTCTTTTCAAGGCATAAAGCACCTTCCTGTGTTCAGTGTGAACAGACAAGAGTTTGTATCCTCCAAGAAGTTCAAGGTGTTCATGGGCTTGGGTGCTTTTTTAAAAAATTACTCGTGATGACTGTATCAGGTGGGTTAGTTTGAGAATAGGCCCAAGGTTACCATGCTTCATACCTTGGTGAAATTGCTTAGGGAAGTAACATATATGGATGTCTCCAAAGGGGGTAATTAGGGGTTGGATCCAGCCAGCTATTTCATTCAGCCCCACCTAATTCCCTTCCTTTACTACAGCCTCCATCCCAGGCAGCATTGTCCACAGCACAGACTTCTCAGTCTTCTCTTTTGGACTCCCATTTTTCAACAGCAGAAAAGCTGGCTGGATCCAAACCACTGTGGCCAGACCTGCTCCATGTTCCGGCATTATTTTTTCCATGCAGTTGGGATCAGGGCTTTTTTTGTAGAAAAAGCCCAGCAGGAACTCATTAGCATAATAGGCCACACACAACAGCAGAAATTCATTTGCTTATTAGGACACACCCCTGACAGCACAGCTCATTAGCATATTAAGCTACGCACCCCATGTTCGCAGAAGTGTGGTCATCCGGACACACCCACCTTTTGCTTCTTACTCTGTTTACCTTGTTTGTTGTCAATACCCAGGGCTTTTTTTATAGCAGGAACTCCTTTGCATGTTAGGCCACACACCCCTAATGTAGCCAGTCCTAATGAGTTTCTGCTGTTGGGTGTGGCCTATTATGCTAATGAGTTCCTGCCAGGTGTGGCCAACTCGGGAGCCAGCCGGAACTCCATTCCTGTGCGTTCCTGCCCAAAAATAGCCCTAGTTGGGATGATAGGGCTGTCCCATTTGGGTGAATTTTAAGTGTATCTGTACTTCTGCAAGGAGCGGTGATTTAAATCTAGGTCTCTGTGTATTAGACCAACACACTTGCTGTTTATTGATTTGGCTGGCTCTTTATGGTTTAGCTTGATTTGTCTCTATGGAGAAACTGATCTTCCCTCTTTGCCTCATCATGTTTCACTTTTGATTTATCATTAACAGGAATGTTTACCTGACATAATCTTAATGCAGTTTTGTGCTTCTTAGAGCCACTGAGGTGGGGAGATAACTAAATTTAAGACTGCATAATAATCTATGCAAACTTCATTTGTAGACTGTGCCCCGGTGAGATGGTCTCTAATAGCAAGAGAAACACCAATTTCAAAAAGAAATAATTAATTGACATATTATTACCATCTCCATCAGATTAGCACATTTTAAGCCAAGTCTGGTTGCATTTGCTAATTTTTCATTTCTGCCAGAGCGGTAATTGGTATAAACACAGTATGAGATAATGAGATTGTGATTCACGCAACTGAAGCGTGGACAGTAAATGGACTTGGCTTGTGAGACCTTACTGTCAGGCTACAAATGCAAAGCAGACTATAATATTTAAGCCGGTATGGCCAAAATCAGTTTCCAGATCCCTTTTAACAAGCATGCTGCATGCATGACTTTACTGTGGTAAGACGCAATATTTACTTGAAATCCAAGGATGAGACAGCTAATTTTCATTGCAGTGAGACTTGGGCATGGCTAAACTTTCTCTAGATCAAAGCCACCATGCGCATCTTTAATAGCAGAAGTATGTAGAATTAGTCAGGTCTGCCATTAGAGAGATACTAATGGGCTAGGGTTGCCGATAACTTGGTGGGGGGGGAGTCCTGTCCCTTTAACAGAGGCTTAATGTGTGGAAATGATCAGGTGATGCTTTTCATATCATGGAGGCTAAATAACATCACCTGGAAAATAACATCTCATCAAGCTTCTTTTAAAGGGGTAGGTCCTTTTTTTCTCCAGGCTGTTGGCAGTCCTAAAATCGCTCCATAATAGTCAAGTCTGTACGTGTGTATGCCTGTTGGTACATGTTACTTAGGTGTTCACATCATTCAGAGAGACTGTGACATGGCCAGAGTACATACTTTTCTCTTCCTAGCCAGATGCCAGAAGATCAGTTTGGAAAACTGCATTTCTCCATCCTTTAGTGTTTATTATGATAGGTGGGAAAAGCCTTGTGGGTAATGTAGGGTCGGTGACTCCTTCATAGTCACACTAGTTCAAACTGTGGACAGTTCTCATGCGGTCATACAAGATAGTAACTGTAGGACAAGGAAGTACCTCTAAAGAGGCATCTGTGCAGAGATAAGTGCCTCTCTAGGTATTCTGAGCTAAAACTTTCATTCATGCCTCCATTTTATGGCTGGTTTTCTAACCACACAATTAGAACTCAATTCTTTCCATTCCAGTTTGTTTTCAGGCCTATGTATTTGGTTGCCCTGGTGGTTGATCTGTGCTGGGATATGGACAAAGGGAGTGCAACTTTGTTGATTTTCCTGGATCTCTCAGTGGCTTTTGAAACTATCGTTCATGCTACCCTTCTGAACTGTCTTTGCAGGCTGGGACTTTGAGGCCCCATTTTGCAGTGGTGGAATTCAGAAGATGGTGCTAGGGGTCTGCTGTTCAGGCCCTTGGTGCATGCCCTGGTTACATCTAAGTTAGATTACTGCAGTGCATTGTACGTGGGGCTGCCCTTGAAAAGTATTCAGAAACTTTGCTCAGGGCAGAATTCAGTAACTATGATGTTGACTAGAGTGGGTCATAGGGAACATAAAACTCTAGTCTTGGACCATTTGTGCTGGCTCTGATTTGTTTCCAGGCACAATTCAAGGTGCTGCTGTTGACCTTTAAAGCCATATATGGCTTAGGACCAGCATACCTGAACGACCACTTAGAAGAAGAAGAGGAGGAGGAGGAGGAGGAGGAGGATGATGATGATGATTGGATTTATACCTTGCCCTTCACTACCCAAAGGAGTCTCAAAGCAGTTTACAATCTCCTTTCCCTTCCCCTGTCCACAACAGACACCCTGTAAGGTAGATGGGGCTGAGAGAGCTCTTTCAAGAATGGCTCGTGAGAGAACAGCTCTGAAACAACTTGTAAGTGACCCAAGATTATACCAGCAGCAGCACGTGGAGAAGTGGGGAATCAAACCCATTTCTCCCAGATTAGAGTCTGTGCTACTAACCACTACACCAAACTGGCTCTTTCTTATGAACCTACTTGACCACTGAGGTCATCTTCCAAAGCCCTGCTCTGGGTGCTCCCACCTTCTGAGATAAGGTGGCAACCTAGGAGAGTACCTTCTTGGCTGTAGTATCAAAACTCTGGGACTTTCTCCCCAGGGAGACTCATCTGCTCCTTTCTGTTGCCATCTTCAACTAGAAGGTGAAGATGGTTTTGCCTGGCATTCAGTGATCCCTCCTTCATGCCCTGTTTTTCATTTGGTTTTATGTTTTACTAGTAATAAGGCTCATTGTGGAAAGAAATACAATGAGCCCTAGGAGGAGGCCCTGGGAGAGTGTGGCGGCCTGCAGCAGTTGGCTGAATCCTCGCCTCCGGCAGCTGCAGACAAGCAACATGGCCAGAGCACTGTTGGACACAGGGCCGGGTTTTGTGTTATGCGGGGTTAGGCGTTAGTTGGCCTGCCACCTCCCCTCTCCTCCCTCACCAGAAGAAGGGGCAGCAGCGTCCTTATTCTCTGGGCCCAGCAGCGGGTAGAGCAGTGCCCCGCCACCCGCGTCGTGGCTCCCAACACCAGGGTTGGGCAGCAGGAAGCAGTTGGCGTGGCAGTGCCTCTGCATTGGGGAGGCTTTGTGTTGGGTGCGGTGGCGATGCTGGTGGTGGGGCCCGGTGCGGAGCGGAGCGGCAGCAGAGCCGCTTTGGCCAAGCTGGACAATGACAGGGCGGGCGATGGAGGGGCAGCCTCCTGCTGTAGCAGCAGCTGCCGCCCCCACCTCATCCTCAGCTGCTTCCGAGTCCACTGGTGCCTCATCACAGGCGGCCCACGCCAAGAAAATTTAGTTAGCAGGGAATTGGGAAAATTGTAAAAGGACCCACCTTGGTCCCTAAGTTGGAAGAAGGGTGGGTTCATAAATACTCTAAAGAAATACATTTTAAAACTAAATCAAAGGTAATGAACGCACACTAACCACCAAATTTTATTTTTGGCAGGTGGCACAAAACCTTCTATTATTCCCGCAACACCAACTTTGGTTGTGAATAGTGGGGAAGAATTAAAGTTGTTGTGTAATGATGATGGCCCGGTGACATGGGATTTTCAGAACGCGGACCCATCGGGAATGCCAAAGAGTTCAGGAAAAAAGGAGCTATTCATACCTAATGCAAGAGCCAGAGACACAGGAACATACATATGCAAAAACAAAGAGAGCTTGAACAGCTCCATTTATGTTTTTGTTAAAGGTAAACTTTTGTTTTCTCCCCTTCTTACTCTGTGAGGACATTCCCTTAAATGAAGTGTGGCTTGTACTTCCTAATTATGTAAAACTTTTTGAACATTGAGCAACATATTATGTCAGCGTAAAGAGTGTATCTTCAGATGTCAGCTGTAGCTCATCATGTTGGTGGACATCACAGGAGATAGATATTTCCTGCATAAATGCTGAGGAGTGTACCATTTAATGTCACGATCAATGTGGTGGAATATTCCTGTATCCAAAAGGGGATGATGTACATACATACTTTCTTGAGCAATTATTCTAGATCAGCGGACGTTTGATTGAAGGTGGCACCATTTTCAAGCAAGCTGGGGGCACAGACTCACCACGTGTCCTGTTTGTGGCACTGCAGGGAGGGCGGCAAGGGTGAGGAAGAGTGGGTGGACCAGCATTGAACGTGGGAGGCTGGGACCTTCCCAGGCCATTGCTGGGCCTATCAGGGAACCCGAGGATGGTTAGTGGAGCAGCAAATCTTGGGCAGCTTTTAAAGCTGTCCAGAATCTACCATCTGCAGTGGGTCATCATTGGGCACGTCTTCACTTTTGATCAGTTCTTGGAAGTCCAATTCTGAAAGAAACATAATAACCTGTTGGAAAATTATCGAGACTGGTCCCCTAGATGAGAGAGAGGCTAGAAAAGGGTTAATTTTGACCTGCCCATGCCTTTAAGAATCATAAAGGAAAATTCCAAAGAGTAGATAGGTTCAGATGATGACAGAGTGGCATCAATCTAGTGATAGAAAAGGGTTCATATAACCAGAAACGTGTACAGGCAAAAACATTAACAGTTCCTTCAGCCCAGGCTGATAACTCCTTCATCCTGTGGTTAAGGTCTCCTGTGTTTTAGGAGTGGTGTTAGGTGAGATAAGTGAAAAAGCTGGTTGGATTCCACCCATAATGTATAACCTGTACATTACTGTATGTAATGTACACAAAACTGCCCACCTCTCTGAGATGCTACAGAAGGAGAAAATTGACTTGGCTTGCGTAACTGAGATGCGATTGGAAGAAAATGACATAGTGTGTCTTTCCACCTGGTTAGGTGGTTCTCCACCAACCTTGCACAAGTAGCTGGAAATTTGAAGAAGGGTTGGTTTTATGCCCTACCCTTCACTCGGAGTCTCGGAGAGGCTTACAATCTCCTTCCCTGTTGTCTCCTCGCAACAGACACCCTGTGAGGTATGTGGGGCTGAGAGAGATCTGAGAGAACTGCTCTTGAGAGAACAGCTCTGTGAGAATTGTAGCTGGCCCAAGGTCACCCAGCTGGCTGCATGTGGAGGAGGGAGGAGTCAAACCTAGTTCTCCAGATTAGAGTCTGCCGCTCTTAACTACTATATTAAACTGGCCTGAACTGTGGTCTGACCAGTGTCTATTGAAGGCCAGGGTGAATATGGTGCTGACACCGTGCAAAAAGGGGTGCCTGGTTCAAATGGTCCTCCCACAGAGTATCATGGATCCTTCTGGATTCCAAAATGCTGTGGGGGATTTTAGAATTCCCAACATATAATTTGTTGAGGGAGCTTGAAACGTGAAGCTTCTTGAACCTGTCAACAAGACTATTCCTTGTTGACCTCTTCCTCCCATGCGGCAGAAGCCAGCCCTGTGATTTGCCATGGAGCTCAGTGACCTAAAGAGGGCTGGAAAACATGTGGAAAGGCGCTGGTGGAAAATTCATACTGAGTCAGACATAGTGAGCTATAGAGCACACTAGAAGACCTACCAGGTGGTGATAGTGGCAAAGGAAAGTTTTTTCCCTGCATCCGTTGCATCAGCTAGCTCATCGCCATCCCAGTCGTTTAAGGTATCTCAACACCTGTTGACCCCTAATTCTGAGCCATTGTCTCAGGATCAGCTGTGATACCTTCACTAAACTTTTGTTTTTGCTGGTAAACTAATACAAAAACAGCCTGACCATGATGCCATCTGTAACATAGGCCAGGCAGAAGAAATGCTTCACCTGGTTTGCTTATGGTAACACTTTGACCCTGTTACCATGCTGGACATAGACAGGATTGTGCAATCTGTGAAGACTTCCACCTGTGTGCTGGTTTGTTGCCCTTCCAGGCTTCTGAAATCATGTAAGAACCGTGTTAATGATCCCTTGATGCCTATCATAAATCATGAACCCCCCCCCCCCGAGAGGTGAGTATCCATCCTCTACTTAAAAACAACCCATCTCTGCACAAAATCATGTAGCCAATTATCACCCATTCTCTAATCTGATGTTCTTGGGGAAAATGATTGAGAGAGCGGTAGTGGACCAGGTTCAGGTCCGCTCGGATAACTCATGTGATCTGGACCATTTCCAGTTTATATTCAGGCTAGGCTATGGGAAGCAGCCTTAGTGAGCATTCCTAAGGTATATTCGGTGGGGTTTACTCCCAGAAAAGTGTTTTTAGGATTGCACTGTTAGTTGATGACCTCTCTCTGAATGTAGACAAAGTCCATTCTTCATGCAGCCTTTGATACAGTAGATTGTGCTATCGTGTTGAGGCATTTGAAAGCAGCAGAAGAAAGGTATCAGGGGATGTACCTTGGACTGGTTTAAATTGTTCCTCATGGACCTGACTCTCAAAGGGTTGGAGACCAACTATCTTCAGTGTGGGAGTTCTTGTGGAGTTCCACATGGTACAGTCTTATCCCTCACATTATTCAACCTGTATGAAAAGCCTTGGATGTCATCAATACTGATGACACCCAACTCTGTATCTTTCTATCCAAATCCTCTGGTGATGTGATGTGGTAGAGGCTGACGGCTGTGGTTAAATGGCTCAAACTTAAACTGAACCCGGACAAGACAGAAGTGAAGCTGGTTGGAAAGGTAGAAACCTTGGACACTATGCATCTCACTTTAGATGCGGTTTGGCTAACCTTGCTGACTCAGTTAAGGTTAGGGATTATACTGGATCCGGCATTGTTGGAAAAACAAGTCAATGCAGCAGCAAAAAATGCTTTCTTCCAACTCACTCTAGTCATGACGATGGCCCCCTGCCATGACACACCCGATCTGGCTTCTTGGACCCCTGCTGTGCTAATATTGAGACTAGACTATTGTGGTGGGTCTCCCCTCAAAATCAACTTAGAGACTCCAGGTGGTGCAGAATGCTGCAGCTTGGTTATTAACAGAAGCTAGGTGGAAGTTGGACAAGCATATCACTCCCATCCTGTAGTCATTCTGTGGGCTGCCCATGAGTTACCGGGCTCAGTTCAAGGTACGAGATAGAGGGATCCCTACTATCCTTCCACTTAGCCGCGATTTCCATCTTTGCTAAGGCAAGTAGAGTCAGGACTATTTGTTTGTTTGAAGATTGTAAAATAGATTCAAGTGTTTTATGAAGTAATAATGCTTCAGGTGTTTCCGGTAGATTGAGACCTGTTATATCTTGGATGGCAGCACTAATAAATACCCAAAAGCGCCTGACTCTAGGGCATGACCACCAACAATGGAGATATCCTGCAGTCCTACCACATCCCTTCCAACATAAATTATTGTTCGTCTTGTAAATATGTTTGGCTAACCTTGCTGACTCAGTTAAGATTAGGGATTATACCGGATCCGGCATTGTTGGAAAAACAAGTCAATGCAGCAGCAAAAAATGCTTTCTTCCAACTCACTCTAGTCATGACGATGGCCCCCTGCCATGACACACCCGATCTGGCTTCTTGGACCCCTGCTGTGCTAATATTGAGACTAGACTATTGTGGTGGGTCTCCCCTCAAAATCAACTTAGAGACTCCAGGTGGTGCAGAATGCTGCAGCTTGGTTATTAACAGAAGCTAGGTGGAAGTTGGACAAGCATATCACTCCCATCCTGTAGTCATTCTGTGGGCTGCCCATGAGTTACCGGGCTCAGTTCAAGGTACTGACAATCACATACAAAGCCCTTCATGGCCTTGGCCTCTTATATCTTTGGGACCACCTCTTCTCCTGTGCTCTGCCACAAGAGTTTCATTCATTGGACCAGGGTCTCCTGCAGGGTCACCCTGCAAATGGGCAAAATCAACTGCTGCCCGTACATGTGCTGTCTCTGTTGTAGCCCTCACCTTATGGCCTGGCCTGGCTGATAAGGTCAGGAAGGCTCTCAGTCTACTGGCTTTCTGCAGACTGTGCAAAACAAAATTATTCAAGAGGGCTTCCGACTTACCTGAGGGACTGCCTTTCCCCATATATACCCCCAAGAGCACTTTGGTCCGGGGCACAACATCGCTTGGTGGTTCCAGGCCCCCGGGAGGCAAGGCTCGCCACAACTAGGACCAGATCCTTTTCCGTGGTGGCCCCTACCTGGTGGAACGAGCTCCCGGAGGAGATCAGGGCCCTGCGGGACCTTATGCAGTTCCACAGGGCCTGTAAGACGGAGCTCTTCCGCCAGGCTTTCACATAGGGGCCACCACTACCATCGCCACCAATGAGGTGGACAACATCGGGGTTAAGGATGGCCCAGGAAGATCTGCCACAATTTCTGCGTGGCCACTGGATTTACCTGGTTGAGCTATAGGATAACATCACCCTGGAGAACCATCCGGAGACCATCTTGTTAAATTGAGTTTAATTTTTATTAATTGTCATTAATGTTTTATTGCTTTTATCTGTTTTCTATGGGTTTTCCCCTTGCAAGCTGCCCTGAGCCCGCTCTGCGGGGAGGGCGGGGTATAAATCTTAATAAATAAATAAATAAAATATACACGTAATTAGGGCTGTGCTAGAACAAAAAGTTTCTGAAAGTTGTTTTGGTAAAGGTATAGGGACTTTGGACTATACTACTGTGTATAGTACTTACTGTCTGTTGTTGTCAGTATGATCCTACTATGTAATTTCTTCATTGTTTAATGTGTCATGTTAATACTTCAGCTTTTGTCTTAGCTCCATGTTCAGGTTCCTGCTTGTTTTCAGATTTCTGAAATCCAAACCACATTGCTTTGTTTATTGGATTTCCCATAATGTTGATTGTATTTGACTTGCACTGTG